CTTCAGAAGGGGATGTATCGTTATTTAATCAAATTAGCAATGAAGCAAACAAGAGGAAGCATCCTATATGTTTCCGATGCGTCGCCCGCATATGAAAATTAATCCTCCTCAAAGTTCTCTTCCTGTATAAGATTTCCCGTGCTACTTTCCTCCCCCTCATGCGTTCTAGATTTATCAGTAAGCGCAAAGGGGATGAACTCATAGCTTCCGATCCCCCTGAAGATCTAAATATTCACCTGAGCGATTCAAAATTTATTCAGAGCTATAAAAAAAATTGGTAACACTTTTAATAACATTTTTCTGTTGAACTGATCATAATTATAAATGAAACAATTAGGATTCGTGAAAGGGATCACTTTAGCCTGTTAGTAGATCGTTTCTGTAGAAGACGATTGTCTAATACAAATTCATGAACACTCTCAGAGCGTTTATCTTACCTATTAGAGGGAAACACTCGCAATCAAAAGGGCCCAAACCTTCTTCCTTCCCTTTCCTTCTGGTTATGTCGGCAACACGCGTATTACGACGCTAGACAAGGCAGCTGTAAATCAAACTTGAAAATTTCTCGTCTGCGAACAGTCTAGACATGCTTGTACTATTTTGAAAGTGTTAAGGCACCGGTTAAAAATATTCTTAGACGACTTAAACCCTGTAGACGGTGTAATTACTGAAGGACCAAGACCCAGCCACAGGCAGTTATTGTTAGGTCAAACAACCTCTTTATGTTTCATTTTTATTCATACACTGTTTTTTATTTTTAACTATTTTATTTCCTGAAATACCGAGAATTTAATATTTATTTTGTTTAGTCTGACACTTTCAGAGGTTCGTTTTGATTGACGAGCATCGATTAGACACAGATTCAATTCGCTCTGAAATACCAAATGTGAATATCATCATGAAATTATTATTATTATTATAAGGTGAAATTATTTTTCATTGAAATTCCATTCATTGTCGAAATTTATTAATAAATAGAAATGAATAAATAAAAATAATTTCAAAAGAGGTTGAAAAAAATCATTGTTTGAGAATTGATGAATTATTGTGAATGTCTAATGTATTTAATGGACCAGTGTTATCTATTTTTGATGTCCAGCAGTCAAAAATCCGTTTTGTTTCAAGGATAAATAAATTACACACTCATAAAATTTTATTAAGGCCACTTACGACCCGAAAAAAGAGAATTCTTAAAATTGCAGCCTCTTTTAATAATTTATGAAGATTCTCAATTAATAAAATCCCCAGAAATATTTGTATTTCATTGTAAGATCGACCTAATGGAGCATCGATTTTTTTTTCTTTCATTTCCAGAGCATTGGTTGAAATTCAACGTCAATCAAGAAGGCACGCGAGGGCGAATAAAAATCCACGCGACGCGTGAGAGTAATTTCCGAGAGAGTCAAGATAGGAAGGACGGATCGGGGCTAATTCAAGATGATACAGAATACGATTTAAATGCACGACGTGCCCATGAGCGACGATCAAAAAGGGAAAGAGAAAAAGAGACTAAGGACTTGGCCTGAGGCAAAGACGATTTCCATCGAAAGGACGATCATCTCTATACATCTCGCGATGTAGTTGGAATTCCCATATACGATTCTGCAATACAGGCATCTCACACACAAGAGGCGACACGATGTTGTGACGAGACGCGTTCTGCATACAGCGATTCATCTCGTTGGACTGGACACTTTGATTACCGGTTTCGCGATCATGCAGGAATCGAACCGACTTTTATTCAGTCCTTCGTGTCCCTACTTTGTATTTTATTCCACACTTTGCAATACAGTTGCTGCTGGTAAAATTACTCCTGCGAATTTACAAAGTGATGCTCTGCAGCAGATCAATATTGCGATATCCATCATGCACTCAGAAATGATGAAATGAAAATTTCTTTAATTATTAACTTCAAACTAAAATTCATAATACATAATAATTCCTTCGGAGAAAAAACTCCTCTTAAAATTCGTCTTCATTATTAATTTTTAACTTTGTTATTCAAAATTTATCGACCACAAAAACCTCAGACTGAATAAAAAAAAAATAAAAAAATTAGCATTCTTGTAAATGTGTAAATTAGTGATGATGGTGATGGTGGTTGGTATTGATTTTATGACTGAAAAAGATGTATTTCATCAAAAGGAGATGTGGGAAAAATATTTTCTTGTAAAGATAAAAGTTTTGACAGATGTACATCAAAGTACTCGTTGATTGAATTAATTAAAAAAATTAATTAAGTAAAGCAACTTTACTGCAGCAGTGTAAAAAATGTAGTATAATGGAAAATACAGTCGCGTCGTCGTGGCGAATCCTGTCAGTCTCTTTTCTTGAACACTTGGGATTTGCCCTCAAGTATTGAAACTTATTTGCATCAATTAACTCTTCAGTGACGTCGTGTAATTGCATTCTTCAAGTCACTGTGAACGAGGATGTAAATGGGAGCACCTCGAGATTATTTTTTCGATGCTTAGTTGGTCTAGGAAATGTTATAGAATTATTATGATACTTTTCCGAGCATATGTAGTAGAAGGGGGTCGAGGTTATATATATAAATATATATGTGTAGAGAAAGAAGAGTAGAAAAAATAATTCAAGGTTCTCAAGAAGGCACTTCAGGCGCTAATGGCTCACCTAATTACGTTACCGACGAGTGCACATTGCGTCGAGACACATAGAGAGAGAGAGGAAGAACAGAAGAAGAGTGTAGTAGAATTCCGATGCGTTTGTATTATATTCGCTATCATACAGAACTGCAGTGTATCTACTTAGCAGAGGGAAGACAGAAAGAGAGTTTACGTAGAGACGTGAGCTTTCTGTCGATTCCAGAACGCCGAGTCGTGAGATATATTAAGAAAACACGCCTCATAAAATTACAAATTTAATTAAAATAACTTTTGCTCGTACTTGTTATATATATTTATATTTAGCTTAATGTGGTCATCAACATGCGTCTCGTGTCAGTCATAGACCAAGTCAACAACATAATTTATTCATAATGACCCAAGTATTCTATTTAATTTGATCCAAGATCTACTTATTTAGCAACTAAAAATACTTCTTTTTAATTCAGTTCGAATAATAAAATTTATTCAATAAAAAATAATCATTTGTCATGTGGAGAATTTTAATTAATATTAATTAATAAATATTGAAAATAATACAAAGCTAATTATCCAGTTGAATATTAATTTTATTAATTATAAAAGAATCCCGTGATTGAAAAGAAAAAATTTTAAAATAAAAAATAAAGTTAAAGGTTTTTGCCTCAGTATTTTTGATTGATTAAATTTAATTAGAGAAATGATTGGACAGATTTCAAGACAAAAACAGGCAAATTTTTCGATCATTTTAAATAGCACAAAGCTGGCTAATCACTAGGATGTTTTACGGTCTTGCAAGGGGTGCCAGGAGGGTAATAAAATGTGAGAAAAAAATAACGAGACTGAAAGAGAGCCGAAAAAAGACAGAAAAAGAACGACAACCCTCATAAGTATAAAGAAGAAAGTAAAAGCATGAAATTAGTTGTACTCGCGAGGTATTAGATGGTAGGCTATCTCTTCAGATGAACGAAGCCCCATTTTATTCGATAATTATGTAAATGCACGAATGATTGTCGGGCAATATGTCCTGCGAATAAAAGTCAAGCAATTCGGTTATCTTTATGATTTGAGGGCGCTTAGTAAGAAAGCAATGGAAAAGACTCGTTGGAGGAGGGGGTGGATTTTTTTGTTCCGAAAAAGATGTTGGGGTTGTGGCAAATGTAAGGCCGCAAAGTCAAGCCCTTCATTTGCATCCTAACGTTCATTTTTTTCTCTCGTTCCTTACGCACAGATACGCTGACAGGGCGACGCTCGGGAACACGTTTTGCATTTTTACAGAGCGTTCAAGAGGGTGGCTGGTTAGGCCGCCGTGACGAGAGGGGGTGAGAATTATTCTTAAAGTGTACTGAAGTTCTATCGAATGACATTTGACTTTCAGAAGTCACCTCTGCTCTTGGAAAAATATATTCTCCAGGATTCAAGCAAATGTAATCATTTTATTACCTCCAACCACTTCATCTTTTCACTCTGATAATCCAATAATTAATTTTTTTTTATTCAATAATTTTGTTCAGAAAATATTCAAGCTATCAAGAATTAAGGCTCAGGAGACTCCAAAGGTAAAATAAAATATTTCTTTTTCTACAAGTCTGGGGTTGACTGTATGAGTTACTGAAAATCAGATTAAAGCAATGTTGAAAGAAAAATACATGATGAAAAATTAAGGATACTTAAAACGTCGAGCTAGACAGGCTTAAATGAAATCAATTAGCAGACTTTACAACGCGTGGATTATAGTTATTTATTAAAATATATTCGTAACTGAAGGGTGGAGCTTGTTGTTCCAACCAATAAGACGTCGTCGCGTGCCTCATGTCGTTACGCAAGCTCAGCAAATTGATAAGAATGCATCGTCGTATGGGTACAAGTGCTAAAAGGAACTTCACTTACTCTCTGTCGAAGACTCTTTAATATTATTTAAATATTTTTTAATAAGCAATATGCATTAAGTACAAGGCAAGGAAATTTTTAATGACACCCAAGACTCCGAGAGGAAAGGGTTGGGAACATTATTATTAAAATAATTAATAGACTGATTACAATAACAACTATTTATTTTATTCATACGTAGTAATGCTGAATTACATGAATACACTTCTAGCCTCGATAGTAGATTGTATAAGTCGGATTGTGAGTGATGATTAATAATGAATCATTTATATTCACTGTACTTCAGACTCTGCATGAATTTTTTTCGAAAAAATTCTATTTATGCGTTTGAATGATATTTTGTTTTATTTAAAAATTTTCACCAACGATTACATCTTCGATGATTTTTTCAATAGATATTGAAAATTAAATACAAAATCGTCGAAATTTATCGTCAGGGAAAATAATTTATTGATGGCAGATATAAATTTTATCTATCAGTGGTTAGATTCTCGGCTCTACATTGAATTCTATTATACTTAGTCTCTACCTAGACGCTACGATTACGTAAACTTTACAACACAAGGATCTTGCAGTAAAAGACTTTGTACATGAATCTTAAATACATCGCGTCGAAGAGAAAGACTTTTTCTTAATTCTCGATCTCAATTTATAGTCTCCTTTTAAATTAAATAATCAATTGATTGAATTAATTGATTAATTATTACACTTTATTATATTTAACTATATTCTTTATTATTATAATTAATCTCAAAGAAGACTATTCTTGCACTTATCCCACAAGTGAAAAAAAAAAGTATTTCACTTCTCGCGCGTATACTTAACGTGGGATACACGCATATGGATTAAATTCAATTGTCGGTAATAGCTAAGTTTATTTATATAAATAGAGGTTGTTAGATTCAAGAGGCTACAGTTTCTCATTTCGATCTACGTATGATACAGTGGGTTTTTTTGAGAAATTTTTTATTAAATTTATTTTACTTTTTTTTTTTAATTCTCTTTATTAAAGTCCCACTTATTGTTTTTATATATATATATATATATATAAATATCGGCACAAGAGATTCTTAAGGTCCTTCCTCATTATCTTTGGCGAATTTATTTATTTATCAATTAAATTAATATTTTGTTCCTTTTTTTTTATTAAATACATATTTATTTTTTGTTTTGTTAAAATTAATTTTTTGTACGTACGACAATGAGTATCGAGAGAGAGCATGATATTTGAAAGAGGAAATAATCTCTCGCGCCGACAGTTGAAATCTCCGTACGGCTATGAAGATCGATAAATGATGATGGCTTTCAATCTCTTGATACTGTCTTATATTCCAGTGGCCGCAAATCATTCGCGTGAGGTCCACATGGTGACTCGCACGAATTTCTACGATCGACGAATTCGATCACTCGTTCCTCCCATTCGATTAAAAAAATTAAATAAAAACGAATGTGGTAAAGGAATGTAAAGTAACGAGGATCGAATCAGTTATTTTCGTCGATGAGACTTAAAAATCATCTAATTTATTCGCATCGATACAGAATAATATTCATACTTTAATCTCTATTGGAACGCATGCACTCTCGCAAGCACTCACAAGCAGTCTTTATAAATTATATCTTTTTTTCTCACTCTCATAATAACGTGCAAATTTTTTTTTTTTGACTTTATTATTTTCACTCCACACTTCTTTTATTTATGGAAGTTTTTTTTCCCAAACTTCCTCGTTTATTTTTATTTATTTCTCTTTTTTTTTTTCTTCTTTACCTTTCGAACGATGTGACGTATTTTTCATGTGCTTCAACTCCCTCTTATCACCCCCTGAAGCTACTGGCAATCAGAGGGTGAGAAGGAGAAAAATTGCACAATCACATCGTTGATATGTGCTAGATAGGTGACAAAATTATAATTTATACATTACAAAGTATTTTGTTATCAATTTTTTTATCTTTTAGACTTGTCTGTAACAATACCGATAATCTATAGCGCCTTATCGCTAGTCTTATTTTATATAATTTACATTTCGAGACGTCTGTCGGTGTGCTTTCACACATGTCCTTTGACGCTTTTTAATATTTTGTTTCCTTTTTTATATCAAAGGATCATTCGTATTTTTCACCCTTTCATTTCAACTGACAAAGTCTGATGAAGAGAAGCTGTCTTTCGTCGATTCTGGTGAGCACGTGATCCTTTTACTTTTGTATCTCACTTCCTCAAAGTTGCACCTGGCAGTTTTGATCTAAATTTTCAATATCCCATATCATCAGGCTTCCTCTTCTAGGTTGCACTTGTAAAAAGAACCGAATTCTTGTAGTAACCCGTTCGAGATTCTGTAACATTAATTATAAAAGTACTTGTTAAAAAAATTAACATAAAAAAAAAACATTTAAGTCATTTTATTAGTCATTAATGAGTTCAATAATTGAGTCACAAAATGAAAATTCAAAAAATTTATTAACAATATTTTATCGATTGATTTATAAATTAAACAATTATGGATAACATTTCTAAATTTTTTAAATTTAACATGACTATTTATGATTTTTTTTATAACTGCATAAAATAGTGAATTAATTAATGACTAAAAAAGGTTGCTTCTATTAACTGAAATGTATTTATCATGCACAAATTTAGACGATTTTTTTCATCATGTCGGAGCAAGAAATCTGATTAAGCTTGAATTTAAAGAGGGCTAAAAACGAAATTTTGCATACATTTGGCAGGCAGACTTTAAAGTGACTGAGTCGTTAGAAAATATCAAAAGAGGCTCATGTGTAATTTGAGTGAGTGATGAAGATGGCAAGAAGTAAAAATAATCAGAAAGAATGAAGCAGATAGATCAATGTATAGCTTGGTTCGTTTAGCAAGAGGCGCCGCTCACTAATTATCTTCCAAGATCATGCGTAAGACAGGACGAAGCTGAAAATGAAGATGAAGTATATTGGAGTTTAGTTGTAGAGAAGCTCAGGGGGAGGAAAGGTGAGAAGCAAGGGAAAGAAGCGGAGATTGTAAGAGGGTGGGACTGCTTGGTGAATCGGAGCCAGTCAAGTCATCGGGGCCTCGTTCATGGTTTTGCCTTTGAGATCAAGCCGCCGACTCGACTTTTTATTCGACTGTCGCTTATGATTGAAAAAGAATGCATTAATAGTCTTCTGGTTTTCTTCCTTTCATTATTCTTCAGCAAATAACTAACTGAAATGAGTCATAAAAACTACTTTATTATGTTTCTCAGATCAACTTACATATTTTTCAATATTTCAGATTGAATTTAATGTAACCAACGTCATGAAAATAAGTCAATATATAACATGAAATAAATGTCTCGTATTTTTATGAATTTCATACTTGTTTGCAGCAAAAAATGTACCACGAAAAAATGTAAATTTACAAAACGAACCGACTGGGAGCCACAAAATTCTTTATTACAGGATACTAAGCGCCGAGTGGAGAAAGAAAGGTGGAGATAAAGGAGAAGGGATGAGATTATTTACGATCACGTCGTCATAGCTGGCAGCCAAGGCGCCAACGTGAGGGCCAACATCTCTCAGGCTTCAGAACCGCGTTAGTTTTTGCGGATACAAATGTGCTAACTTTTAAAGAACTTTGAGTAGAGAAAGAGAGAAGCATCATGCACAACTTTTTGACTTGCAAGGTATACTAACACCATTTTAAGGTGCACCTGAGTGATCTAGTGTTAATGTTCATAACCATCATCATTATTTCATCCTTTTTTAATCCAATGAAATTATTTTAAAACATCAACATAAGCTTCAAAGCTGCTTCAAGAGTGGTTTTTAATAATAATAAAAAAATAAAATGAATTATTTATGTAAATCTATTTAAATTGTAGAAAAAAACGTCTAGAAAAATAAAAGAAGGAAATAACTATAGTGTACGTTTGTTTAGATAAAAAATTAGCATGTAAATTAGCGGGCATAAAAATAAAAAAGGAATAAAGCGAGTTGGCAATAGAAAGAGTGATCATAGGATCATTGGACGCACCTTGAAGGGGAGACTTGACTTGATCCCTCTCGGCTGCCTGGTGCTGCCGCGACTTCCTCTCCTGCTCGAGCTCCTGGGCCAGTGATTCTATGACAGAAGACGAAGAGAAAGGAAGTTCGCATCACCTCAAAGAAGCCAACAGGGCAAAATGGGACGATAAATTGGTTTTATTGGGACTTGATATCAATTGAGGCTTAGGAAGGAATTTTCACATGGACACCCTTTCTCTCTCATCAAAAGGTTCAACATTTATTTTCAGTTTCTCTGTAATTCGTAGCTTAAAGGCAGAACCAGATCAATGAATTCTATCCCTTGTCAACCTCATCTCTGGATCCTCACCTGAGAAAATGCTCGTTTTGTGACGGACTCAGCTCGTCGGCGCGTGAAAGCGCAAGGAGGATGAAACGGAGGAGTAATTAGTGGAAAAGCGCCCTCGCGTTCGTCTCTGTACAGCCTTGTAAACGGGGGTTTGTGAAATGAAATGAAGGGAATAGTAGAGGTAGAGAAAGAGAAAGAAAATACGAGCTGGGATAACGGGCTTAGGCAGGCGTGAACGGACTCAGGGAGTGAAGCCACGAGTTTGCTCACTGAATTCCACAAGGATTAGGGTGAAAACTGGAAAATGTCTCTTTAATGATATTACGTCGAATTAACCATAGCGTGGAAATACCAACGGTTCACTCTGGGTCATATCCACCATTAAATCTCGACAGTTATCACTCATTGTTTTATTCTATTCATTTTTATAACAACTCCATTTTTTAAATTTCTTTCCCCTCAATGGTATATCATTATTATTGCAATCCAATGCTTTTTTATTGTGAATAAATATGAAATATGTATGTTTTGATTGTTCATTCAACTAAAATTCTTCCTCATTTTTTAATCCATTTTATCAAGTTATATTTGTTTAGCAATGTAAATAATAGTAACAGAATGTTTTTATGTTGGAAATATTGAAAAATGTAAATATTGAATTCTGTTTAAAATTTTTTCTATGCCAATAAAATAATTGAAAATATTTCTCTGTATCTCTACGTTGATAAGTATAAAATAATTTTAACTAAAAAAATTATTGTAGATTATTTATTTGATGGATTCTAATAATTAAAAAAAATTGTAAACATTTTCAAACCAATGCAAAGATGATGAAAATGATTCTAGAGTATTTGACGAGACTTTTGCTTTTTATTTTGACGAGATAAAAAATCATCTTGAACTAGTTATCAAAGATAATAGTGTAGAAAATGAGATAGGTGAAGAAGAGATTACAATTGACACAACAATCGGATCAGTAGGCGTGAAACAACGCATCGTTTAGGGTGAAGAGCAATAGTAAAATCCAATTGTAAGGCCATTAAACCCTGGTTAACTGGCAGCTCGTCTCGGTGTGGTACTATATAAGCGAGAGACGAGACCCGAGATTCTATTATGCTTTGAGCAACAATAGCTGAGGGCTGTATGTTTCACAGTCGAGGTAAGGGAAGTGCGAATCGTGATGAGACAAAGACTAAGACGGTACACATGGGTTTAGGACGGTTGTTTGCATTTCGCTCAGTTAAATTACCTCCTGCAATGTTATTCTCGCGTTGGGTGTGTTCATTCCTTTGATATCTAAATGACAATTTAACTGTTTAAGCAACAGAGCCTTAGGCTGAAGTTAAAAAATATACAGAAACAGGAAAGAGTCAAAGATGAATAAGAAATGGTTTTTATCATGATGAAACAAGTCCTTATGTATTTTTATTCAGCCTTTTGGAATTTATAGCACAAAATTGCGTGTTCACTTGGTGTAATTTAAAGTATTTTCTTTTTTTACATGGCTTTGATTCTTCAACCAGGTGTCCTTAAGACCGTTTCCATGACTTTTATCGACAAGAAGGCGGAGTGAAGTAAGAAAGATTCCAAGATACGATGATGAGAAATGAGAAATATAAGAAAATCAAGAATGCTAAGAAGAAAGATCCAAGGTTTATGCTACTCGTCTTACACACCCTGACAAATCGACCAGACAATGAAAACAATTTCAGACCGGTTTTAGCGAGACTCCAGACTTAAACAGCTCGTATTGTAACCTTACTATAGTGATCGTGACCAATATTTCTCTCTTTTCCATTCCATTTTTGCTGCTGCTGTTGTTGTTGTATTTTATTTCATTTTATTGCTTTCCTTTCTAACTCAACAGCCTGAGGAGGAGGTCCTGGTGCTATGACGCTGCATTTATCTGCACGTAATTAACTTGAACACAATGCACCACCGGCTACTTTGGGAGAAACCAAGAAGAACACAATAAGTGAGACTAAAAAAGTCCAAAGAATGAGGGAATATTCTATTAGTGGTCAAGTTGTTCTGCCTGCAGTGAATTTATTTACGTTTATTTGAATTCTTCGCTAAATTATTCCAAATTATATTAATTAGAAAATACTTCTGTGCTATTCTTACGATTTCTTTCTTCAATTCTACCTTAAGTATTCAACATTAATTTTTAAATAAATTTTATTAATCGAAATTGATAAATAAATATTCATTAAATAAATGGATCCTTCTTAGATAGAGAACGTAAATGATTTAGAGTGAAATGTTAAATGATGTTAATAATCTTTTTTGGAGTATCTTCCACATGAATGAACAGAGACAAAAGCTATTAAGATGAGCTGGTGATTAGTTGAAATCCTCGCTCGACTGGATTATGCAAAAGCTTGCGAAGGAAAGGGGTGGAAAAAGACAGCATCTAGACTCTAGACTGCTCCAGAGGGTTGATTTCGTAGAGACTGCGTTTTTAATGCTCTGATCTTTATGTAAAACAGAGTGGCGCTCTGCTCTTGGTTTCTCGCACACGCTCGACGCGTACTCAAGAGCATCAAGCCGACCGTGAAATTGTATGAATCGAGATGGGCGCACAAGTGGAGACACAAAAAGCAAAAAGAAGAATTTGTACTTTCTTGATACTTGGGGGGACTTTGCTCTCTTTCTGAATCTGGCCTTCTTTCGTACTTTTATAATTTTAAATTTCCGCAGGCGACAATCCTCTCATCTCTTCATCTCACCACCCCCTTCCTACCCCCTCTGGGAATTGTGATTCGCATTTTCTACACTAGAAATTTTTCCACCTTGTGCTCTACAAAATATTATTCGTAAAGAAGAATTTTTTATTCTGAGATAATTTTTTGTGTTCTCCAAGGGAGTAAACAGAAATGAAGCTCCAATAATATCGCAACCCCTGAAAAATTTTATTTAACATCATGGATCTTCTTCTCTCACCCTCGTTACATCTCAGACTCAATTTCGTCCGAATCCTCGCTAGCTTCACGTCCGGGTAACATTTGTTTTTATATGATAATCCTCAAGCCATGTCGGCAGTATTATTATTACGTTCTGTAGCTAAAAAATAAAGTGGGGGTAGTACTCCTAAATCCGCTTCTCGTTTCTTTCCCTCCCTACAAGCTTTACACGATGCTCGTCTAAAAGAGTATTCAAATACCCACCCCTTTGCTCGTCATACTTTGCTCCTCTCTCTCTCTCTCGCTCTTACATCTTAACTGACGTGTAGGTAGAAAAGAAAAACAGTCGCGAGAAAGATTGGTGAACGAGATCACACCTCGTAATCGCAATGAAAAAAAGCAACCCCTAGCTTACTACATTCATACCTTGGAAGAGAAAAAAAAATTGTAGCATTTTAAAAAACCATCATTTTGAGTAGAATATATATTTTCTCATGAGTGAAATAGCAATTTAAATAAATTAAGTAAGAAATTACAATACTTTGGTGAATTTTACGAGTTAATAAAATGAAAGTAATTATTTTCTTCCATTTATAACGTCGAATTTTAAAATCAGATTAAAATGTCGAGCAAGAATGATTTGGGTCATTGACTTTTCAGCGTATTATCTCAGAGTTTATCACGTGGCGTGAAAAAGTTTAATTTTCTTGAGGCTGATATAATATAAAAAAAATAGAAAAAGTAATAAAGTGTTTCCCACAAGTATATTTATATACAAAATTGTAGAAGTGAACGATAAGAAGAAGAAAGTATTGAAGAGAAAGAAAAAATGTGAGAAGCAGCAAATAAGAAATAGATGGCAAGATGCAGTTATCCTTCTTCTGACACCTTGGCGGCTTACAGCAATCATTTCAATTCAAAAGAATTTTTAAAAGCTCCGCCCATCAAATATTAAGCCCGCCCGGCGATTTAGAGTGATTGCGGTCACGAGTTGGTGGCCTCCTGGCCAGAGTATGCGTGCACGTTCGGCCATGTGTTGTTTGCTGGCACGTTCGTTTTTGAATTTTCGATGCAATTGTGTGGGTGAGCACGAGCGTGCACGAATGCGCGTGATCCGTAAAACAGAGGCGGAGGGTGAGAGTAGAGAAAGAGTCAAGGCGACAGTAGTGGAGGTATAGAGACGAGGGGAACAACACGGTTATGGTCGCTATGAAATTATTGCATATAGTCTGAATATTAAAGCGTGCTAGAGTGCTTCGTCGTACTCTCGGGGTTGATGGTATGAACCTGGAGAAATCACTAGAATGATAAAGAGAGAGAGAGAGAAAGTATAGAAAGAAAAGTAGACGTGGAGAAACGACCAAGAAAATGAAGCTGAAGAGAGACATATAGTAGGCAAAGTTGGAAGGGAAGAGGAGAAGGTGAAGACGCTGAAGACAAGGTAACGCCACTGAGAGCCACGGTGGCCGCCGGGGAAATAATACTTGCCAGAGATGTGCATAAACTCTGCATTACACGCCACGGTTCTCATCTCAACATAAATATCCTCAACTACTGAATAAATTCGTTGGTTGTAAAATAACAAGGCCTCATGTTGGTATGCAAGCTAACGAAACTGATGATTCTTGCAGCTATTCCCATGACCATCTTGACTCTGTTAGATGAAATGATTTTTTCAACAACGTAATAACAAAAGAGTGTAAAGTGTGACAGTCACTGCTCGTATAGAATGCATGACTTGAAGACAGCAGCCCCTGAGGTCCTTTCGGTGGCGTATAAGTACCTTAGACGACAACCTCATCCCTTCGGCTAAGACTCATCGTTCTCCACCCATTCCCTCGTCTACATCTTCGTTGTTTATTGCAAATGGATTCCACATCATGATGCCCAAGTTGCTCCTGTACCCTATTCAAATACGTGTTTCCTCGTCAAGTCTCATTCCCCACCTTCTCCACCTCCTCCCACTGTTTGCTAGTGCAGCAATAGCAGCCAGAGTATATTGGGGATGTTATTGCTACTACCGTGATTGCTCTACTCGCTCCGAGTCTTTCGAATAATTTATTTTCGCGGATAACCGTCGTCTCTTGCCCTCCCCTCCCCTCGATGTGGTGAATGCCAGATACGAGATTTCCTTGGTAATCTAGAGGATCAGTTGGTTCGCTCGAGAGGTCAGAAAAATTGATTGGAGTCTGATACGTAAATGCGATTATTACCACATGTCCGGGAATAATAAAAAGGGTCAGGAAGATTCGAATATCATTTCTTGGTCTGTTTTATTTCTGTAATTTCATTGGAATTAAGTATAGGTTTCCCAATTGGGATGTAGGTCTGGGTGTCACTGGAGATTATGTTACTGGTCATTACTTGTGATGATGATAGACTCTCAAAGATAAATACAATCATCAAGCATTAATTTTGCAGTTACATTTACCATGGACCACAATCCCATAAACATGTATTTACACTACTAATAATTCTTACCGGCCTGGCAATCAATCACGTCTAATTGTGATCTCTTGAGAGACCAGGTTGAATGCCTTGCAGCTATCGAGGGAACCCGTCGAACCTCTCAGAAGCACAGATACAGTGAAGGAGAGAGAGAAAGCAAAAGAGAGAGAAAGGGAGAGTGGAATGACTGATCAAGTGATTCAGGGAAAGGAACCGGGAAGGTGCAAAGACTTACCTTGGTAATTTTGCCAGAAGGCGGAAGCCTGACCACCGATCAAGTCTAAACCGTATCCCCAGCCAGGCTTTATAGCGTCGGGCGTCGTTGGCTGTTGGGGTGGACGTGGCACCTGTGATTCTCGATACTGTTGAGCTTGTTGTTGCTGTTGTTGTTGATGAGACTGTTGAGATGACTGCTGCTGCTGTGATGATTGTTGCTGTTGGGATGATTGTGATTGGGAGTGTGCTGGAATGTCATCAGATGGCTCTGACTTTGTACGAGCTTCCGTCGTTACTTCTGGAATTAAATCAACCATTCTTCATCAGTTTACAAGAAAATGTATCATCATCATCAAGAATAAAATTAGAAATTGTTCGATTTCTTATGGAATATTTTTAAATCAATATTTTCGTCCAATGTACTGATGTTGAAACACGATTTTTTGCATTGAACAAAATGTGGCGCGTGCCTCGACATGACTCTTGATATTGGCCCACCCACTATGTCTGCAAGTAGACGCGCGAGACGTCTGGTTCCGTTTGATTTGAAATTAATATCACGACTCCCTGAGCCTGACAGAACTAATCAGCAGCAAAGGCACGAAATGTTATATCGAAATAAGAGATTTCACTTAAAGGGTTTCATGTTTAAGTTTTGGAAGTGACAGGGTGGGAGTCAGAGTAAATAGAAAATGAAAGAGTAAGAAGATGTACAAGTGAAAGTTAAAGAAAGAGAAAAGTGGATATGAAAATTTGGGAAGAGAATCCAAGTTAAATGTAAGGGTTGATATTACACTGGAGGCATTGGTGGTAAGGATAAGTAAGGAATCATATTCTACAGGGTGTCAGACTGTTTGCTTAGCTTCAACGAATTAATTAATTCATTTCAAGATTGAGTAGCCTCAAGCATCTTTTGTCCGTCTCATAAAGGAAGTCTAAGAATCCTGTCGCTTCAATCAAACCCAAAGAGTTCAAGATGTGATCCAAAGTATCTTTAATGTATTTCATCAAATTCTCAGAAGGATTTCTTACTATTTTGTGATTTTTAATCTTGACAATATTTCAGTCTACTCACCAGCTATCGCTCTGACTTGCTCTGACGTGGCTCCAGTGGCCTTCAACGCTTCCTCCAATTGTGTACGTTTTTTAATTTCTACATCCAATTGCTCCTGAAGTCGTTTCCTTGCCCGTCGCTCCTTTTTCAAGCGTTTCTGGTACAACACTGCAACAAATAATAATCATTACTTGAAGATAGTTTATTAAATTTCTATGATTCTTTTTATTATTAATAAATTTTGTGTGATAGTCTATTAAAAATTTTCAAGTTACTTAAAGTGATTTTATCATTATTTGATCAACTTTCAAAATAACTAAAAATTATAAAACTATTTGTTTCTTCTTTGTAATATGAAAGCAGGATATGTTCTGAATTCATTTCTAAAATTATTTTACTTTAAAATATAAGAGTGTTTTAAAGGAGATTTTAATCCAACTGATTAATTAGTATCTGAATGAATCAATTAATGATACAGTATAGATTCCTACAATGCGAGATCTATCATTGTTGTTAATACAATTTGGATGAAATCAAAGCAACGGTAATATGTCCAATATATTGAACAATAGCCGAGTACTTTAGCAATGCATTGTCTGTCGTTTCGCTTCAGTCTCTCATTCTCCTTCACTCAGTCACAAGATACTCTCTTCATCAATAGCATATACACTCAAATCCAGCACACATATGCTCGTGTTTCTCCACCACACAAGACGAAGACAATCGACAAGACCGGCACAGGATCCAGTTGCTCGATGATATGCATCCTTCATACACGATCGATCTGATGATCTGGCGGCTTCTTTGAACCCTTGCTTAATTATTTTTCATCACTCTGATTGACCCTATCTAGGTATTGGCCTTGGATATGTCGGAAATGTTTGGTGATGGCAATTTTTGAGTCTGATACACCACTATTACTTGACGGAATGTCTTGACTTCAGAGATGATCTTACGAATGGAAAGCGACGGTAGCGGGTATTCACGTGCTCAGTTGAATCTGACAGAGCAGCGTAGGTGGTACGTCGCTCGCGGGCTCGTCAAGATTGCTTACAACCCACGGTTGCAATTCCAAAGCTAAGAAGCAGCAGACGATGCTGAGTTGATGATGCTGACTAGATTCATTAGATCAAGAGTTTGATGATGAGGAGAGTATTGATACACTTCTAGAAGGTTCTTGCACTTGAGTTGGGAGCCACTGTCACGTGATTGATTCTCAGCAGACAAGGCGCAGACAACCCCTTCTCTTTCTGCTCGCCACCATGGCCGTCCCACTCTCGATCTCTCTCTGTTTCTTGCCCTCGCGTTGTAATACCTTCAATCTGCTTGTCTTCTGCCTTCCATCTCAGCTGTAGTCTCCTTGTCTTTTACTTATTCCTCATGTCTTTGTCTTACTTTCTCTTTTTCCTGCTTTTTCCTCTCACTCGTGTGCTGGTATCAGCAGACTTTGTTGTGCACGTGAGGGAAAGAAAGAGAGTGAGGTGGGTCGGCATATCGGGGTACGAAGGGGGGCCGCGAGCCCAGCATTATGATGCAAAGATGGCGAGGCGGCGGCACCCTAGAATTAGCCGGAGCACTCGCCATTGGCCGTTCAGCAAACCACTCCTTCGGTAACAACCGACTGCATACATTGCATACTAAGGATACACGCGAGAGAACAAGAAGGAAAAAGGAAGACAAGGATAGAAACAAAGAACGACCAAGAATTGGCTAGGGACTCACACCCACTTTGCTCTATCTAATCAAAATAATTCAACTACTCTTTATCCATTCATTTTTTAATCATAAACATTCTACTCAGCTAAAAATTATATCATCCAAGACGCGTAGCCTTCCCTATCAAGGACCAAGTGTTTTCATAATGGCATCAGATGTTTAGAATAAAGCTAGCCTTATTGAAAAACTTGAAGAGATTTTTTTTCCTGATGTTGCAATATGAAATTAGTTCTATGTTTGATGACACATTATTAGTGTTATTATTGAATTTTTATTTATATTCATATTCATCAAAGGGTAAACCTTTCCCATGTCTCATTTCGTCTTTCACACCTGGACTGCAATTCAAGAGTAATTACACCAGTGGTGGCCATTGAGACATAATATCTAGGAAGGTATGTATGAGTGAACGACTTAATGACAAACATCAATGGAATGTGTGCTCTGTTACGAAAGCAACACATAGGTAGTCTATCGACCCGAATGTTCATGTTTCTATTTTTATTCTTTGTCTTCTTTATTATATATATATACATTATTATTTCGTAGCCACAGATCCTTTTAAAGTGCTTAAGGCTATTGTCAATGAAAAGATAAATGAGTAGACCACCTTTGTGACCACTTTAGCTAACTTTTTACCCCAATTAACATCCCACTTTTAATCACAAATTATTCAATGATATTTCTTCTTAATAAAAAACGGTTTAATTATTTTTTATACCATTTTTTCTGAATGGTTATTAAATTGATGGAAAAATTATTATGGTGAAGTTTTATTTAAAGATGAAATAGCAACAAGAGTGATTTAATGATGAAAAAGGGATTGATAGATCAAGCAATAAAAGTAAATAAAAAAAAGTTGAGGATCTTGGTGAGGGTGGCCCATTAGATAATGCAGTCAACGTAGAAAAATCTTTCATCGGACACGTCAAAACACATCAGCTACCGCTGTGCAGTCGATCAGAAAGCCTTAGCTGTTGGTGTGGACTCCCCACGTTGTTCAGCCACCGTCGTCGATGTCCTTGCTCTCCTTTTCCTTGAGGGTTCAGCTGGACAGATCTTGATTTTCAGAGATTATCGTGCTTCAATGCTCTCTCTTTAATAATTCGATTCACCATTCACAAATATTTAAATATGAGAATATTTCTAGATCATTTCTATCCAGCATTATAATCTTGGGAGAATATCAAAAAAAAAAGTTGATGAAATATTTTATATCGTACGTTTGTTTTTATCGTAAGGATCTTGGCGTGATGAACAAACACGAAACACGCGGCGTCTATTTAATATGCAAATGTTGGCGCGATTCTCGTCAGAAGCCGTCGAGAGGTCTTGAAACCTTGCCCTCGGTCTACCCAAACAATCAGAGTCCATCTAACTAAGGATCCAAGAGGGCGAGGGACAAAGACAGTATTCTGAATCCAATCAGGCCTCTTGGAACTAATATTACATCCATATATACAACAACGCGTCTTAGTTCCATGATCGTGTTTAATACAACAAGGAGTTTCCACCCCCTTGAACCATCTTCCCTCTTTCGTACTTCTCAGAGCTATAGCGAAATAGCAATATGATTTACATTTTGCGGTTATATTGACCATTTCCGGCACCTGCACCAGCTATAGGCTACTTTCTTCGTCAAATGACCGGGTTCTTCCGGAAAATGAACGAATAATCTTGTGCTTGATCTTATCCAATCAAGACTTCTAATATAAAACTTTGAATCGTGTCTAATAAGAATTAAAATAACGATATATTTTTTAATCAAGTTGAAATGATAACATTTTTTTTTAATTTCATTTGCATTGATTTTTTGATAAATCTAATCTTCCTGATTTTATTAAAAATAATAGATTTAATTATTTAGCATAATCAGGATAAGAATAATTTTTTGCTCAACTCAGTTAAATCAATACATATTTGTTTGTATTAAATTTTAAAGAATTAATTCTAATCAATGAATTAAATAATTTGTAGCAGATGAAAATTAGCGATTTTTGACTGGAGCCCCAATTCTAAATAATTACCGAAAATTAAGATCAAATTTTTGATAAGTTGTGGGAAAGTAAATGGTTAATAAATAGAATGGATTAATTGGAAAGAGATCCAACAAACAATTAGAATTCATAACAAAGAGTGATCTGATAAAGTTGATTTGAGTTATAACGCGGTCGTAAGACAGATAGTAAAGGGTTGAAGTAAAGAGAAGAGGTACTTAGACACCCACTAGAAGAGTGTGTCTCTGATCCTGGAGACTGTTGTCGTTGGCTCCGACGGACAGCATCTGTGCTTTTAGGGTCTCCCCCGATATCCATACAAAGCTGTCTGCTGAATAATATTACACTTAACCCGTACCACTCGGATGATTATAGTTGGAGCCCAACGTCGATAGTAGTTAGAGCGTGCATCCTGTGTGAATGCTAATTCGCGTGCTAAGCGTGGCAGTATGCACAAGGAAACCGAGGTTAGCAGACTGAGTGGGTATTTGTGTCGAGGATAGGAAGCTAGGAGTTTTGGAAAAGACAAGGAGTTGAGATGATGTCCACGGGCAAACCACAAAAAGCAGCTTCAGGATAAGAGAAGGAAGCGAAAGCTTGGAATATCAATTTCCAAGGGACAACTTTTCGCCCTTTGAGTGTCATCCAAACACATCCTACCCTCAGCTCCATATGAAAATGGAGATGGTGGAATCCAGTTTGCGAGTAGAAACATCCTCCAGAGGGTCAGCCACATCACCATACGTTTTTTCCCAACTGTTTTGTTCCATCTCATCGCGTCTTATTCACTATTTCTTTCTGTCACAGTGAATATAATATATACAAAAGACCCTTCGATACTTCACACGCTTGATGTAAACTCTGAAAAGCTTTTCAAGCGTCCTTGAACCAGCTAAGATACTATTTCATTGTCTTTCACTTGCGTGTGGTCTTTGTCATACACAAAAAGAGGTTGATTATTTTTTTATTCACGTGTCCATTCCACTGAGGAGAAGATTTTCGACCGCTTGCATTACCCTGGTAAAATTATATGAAAATATTTACTGATCCTTGCACGTCATTCGAGACACGGGCTCTAGTTACCTACTGTGACCGGTTATCTCAAGTGTATCTCGAAACGTAATAGCTGGTAATCCAGGTTAAGTTTCGTACACAAGAGAGCATAAGAAAGGATATTCTAAGATTTTCAATTAACTGTAATTTTACTATCTAATTTTATTACTTTGCTGTTCGTACAGCCTGATATGCCAGCTAAAAGACCTTTCAGTCATCAGAAAATTCTCGTGAACAATTATTTACTTTAACATAACATGAGATTGAAATTTTTAAGTAGAACTTACAAGAAAAAATGTAATAAAAAATTACAGGAATTGGGGTGATGATGTAATTTTTATTGTTATTGAAAGAAATAAATACTGTGATAGCAAGTAACAGCAATAATAGACAAAGAGAGAA